TTTTTTTATAAAATGGAGTACTACTCAGCCATAAAGAATGAGAAACTAGAGTCATTTATAGCTAAATGGATGCATACTGAGGCCATACTCTTAAGTGAAATAAACAGGACACATGTAAATACCAAATAGTTTCTCTAGTGTGAGAAACTGAGAGTGTAAATAAGGGTTAAAATGCTTAAAATGAATAATTGATAATTTGAAATAGGAAAAAAGGTCCAAAAATGAAGAGGTGAAGGGAGGGGAAGGGGAAAGGAAAGAAGGGAAAGAAAAACCTATGAGAAAAGGAAAAAAAATGGAAATGATGTCTATGTAAATAGGGAAGGATGGAGGGATGACGGGCGCACAGGTAATGGGGAAGAAATAAGAACCAAGATATATCATGCACAGGTACAAACACCCAATGATAAATGTAAAGGAATGTATGCCTAAAATGTACCAATAAAAGAACTTAAAAAAAAAAACTACCACACAAAGGACCTTGAAAGACCATTGTAAGTTTTGCTAATTTAAGTTTGAAGTTTGATTAGTTTGATATGAAGTTTGTTTAGTTAATAAATCTAAATCATTAGCAAAAGTGCTCTAGGTTAGAGTAAAACTCAAGTATATGTGGAATGTTATTACTATGATGATTACTTTTGCATATCTTAGTATTCTAATCTGTCAGACTGTTAGTAATAAAAATTATTTTATGTTTATGTAAGAAGGAAAAAGTCAATATAAATACTTAGGATACTAATATAAGACTCAAACTGGCACACACCAGTTTTCTTTTGTCCATAAGTCAATCTTTAATGAAAAGAAAATGAAAGTAAAACAATTTTCAGGATGAGAGTTTACAGTAGAAATAAGTGTGAAGTTCTATATAAATAGTTTTATGTTTCCCTTTTATAATTTTTGTCTAGATTTTCAGATACATTGAAGTTATCCACAGTGGACATCCTCACTCTGAAGATAACACACACAGCTAGTGGGCTGCAGGACTGCTTCCACTCTATTGTTCAGGCTGCAGCCCACAGGGAAGTTAGGGCTGCTGTCACTAGGATGAGTTTTTATCTTCTGAATGACAAATTGTCCTTAAAGGATGGAACCAGCCCATGTGGGGTTACCTTGAAGTCCTTGGCTTGGCACAGTGCACTAAACAGGTTAGTATAACCAGAAGCCTGCCAGTTTCAAAGACCTAGATTGAATTGTATTTGGGTTTACCTTCAGTTCTTTGAAGATAAGAGCAAATATTCTTATTGTTGCTATCATGAGAGATATGTTTTTTATAGAAAGCAAAACTCCAGGATTTTTATTATCTGTAAGAAATATTAATAGCAAAAGAGAAAAATTAACTTATTCACTGCATTTTTGAAAGAATTAGTAGTAAACTTTAAAAAATTTTAGTTATCCTAGCTTAGAAAATTTTTTCACCAAAGTAAATAATCAACATAAGACATGGATGAAACACTAAATGTTTATTCCTGTCCATCTAATAAATGAGTTGAGACATCAGAGAATTGATTAATAGATTCAGTATACCTGCCAAAGGCTGTTTTGTTTTGTTTGCTTTTGTTCTCAAGTAAATTATCTAATTTTTCTTTTTACTCTGAATTCCGTGAAGGTGATTGCCGTGTGGAGGTACTGTAATAGTTATTGGAAAGACTCTAGCTTGTAAATTTCGCACATTTAACTGGTAGTGGATGGTTGCATTTGCAAGAAGACAGATAAGCAAGTGCTGTACCCAGTTTTTCATTTTAGTCTTCATGTGACTTTAGTGTAAAGTATATAACTTTGTTTATTAAACCATGCAGTTTAAAAAAATGCTAGGTTAAATGAGTTTCCAAAATGTGAAATCTTATTTAGTTTTCCTTTGACAATTGGTTCTCTCTATTGATATGCTAGAGTCAGCTAGTACTGCCTCCTGTGAGAGCTGATGGCTAAATTTTTAGGATGTTTGAAAGTTGATTTTTAAGCTATTCTTAAAAATTATATAACTTACAATTAAATTATATGAAAATAAAGATAATGAATATTAAAAATCATTGCTATTTGTTTTGTAATATTTTATTATTATTTATGCTCACGAGGTTATTTCTACTGTATGTGTTTTATAGAAATACTATCTAATTGTGTGCTTCTGTTCTCATTCCAACTCTGTGTGACATTGTAGTTTGATATTGGCCTTAGTGGGGATATTTAAACCGTGCAAATCAGCAAACAGCAAATCAGCACCCTACTCACTAGTCCACTGTTAAATGTCAGGTGACTGCCTTTAAATATTCCTGGTAGCTGTGCCATGTATAAATTCTGTAGTCTCAATAAATTTGACATATTTCTGTTTCTTACAAGAAAATTTTATAGTAAAAGCTAATAATGTGTATTAAAACTATAAAAATCATCTGCAAAACTACGTTGAAGCAAAGGTTCTCAGGGCAGGTCAGTGGAAGTCCCTAGAACGTTCAAATTGCCTAGTAGCAATACCTGTATGTGAGCATCACATTTTTATAGTGGAATTACCCTGTGACTAATACAAGTGAAGAGTAGAGTGTTACTTTTTTATTAATGCATATTAGTCATACAGACTAATGAGTTTTACTTTGTTATTTATACATGCATTAACATACTTTGATCACCACCACCCCCACCCCCCACCGCCCCATTATCTGCTGTCCTTTTACCCTCACCTATACTCTTTTTTTCCTCTAGAGTCTCCCTTCTACTTTCAGGTCATCTCAAGTCTGTGTGCATTTACGTATAGTGTGTGCAGTCAGCTTTCTATATCCATAGATAGGTCTTCTTTCATGGATTCAACCAAATGAGAATTGAAAGTACTAATTAAAAAAACTCCACATCTGTACTGAACAGACACAGATTTTTTTTTATTACTTTATCACTAAACAATGCAGTGTGACAACTTCTTACATAGTATTTACCTTGTTTTAGGTCTTATAAGTTCTCTAGAGGCAATATATACACAAGATGTGCTTAGGTTATGTGCAAATACTATACAATTGCCTATAAAGGCCTTGAGCATCTGCACATTTTATTATCTACAGGGAGTCTTGGAACAAACCCTCCATGGATGAGGGACAACTGTACTTTTTTCTGTTTCATTTGGTTTATAAGGTCAGTATGTGTAGCACAGATATTGCTGCACAGTATATAATATATGCTCATGTTTCTGCTATAGTATGCTTTACTAAAGAATGTATCAGTATATCACAGAATCCACCTTGTTTAGAAAAATTTAAATATTTTTACTCCCAGAAATAGTGTATATAGAGGTGTGTGTTTGTGTACATGTCTGTGTGTGGGGGGGTTGTGTGTGTATGTATATGTGTATAAAATAGATGGAACTTGGAGAAATTTTTGTTTAGTTTTGTTTTTACTCAGTTGAAGGAATGTCAAGTTTTTGGCAAGTAAGCTAGCCAGCACTTAAAGGAAAAAAAAAATATTTAGAGTGAAAATTCCCTGTAAATTACAACTCTATAAAATATTGAGATTATTTTTTATAAGCTTAGTTTAAAATTTTGTGTATTATGTAAAAGTATTTCAAATTGTATCACTTTAGACAATTTAGAGAACCATGTGAATGATTTTATATTTTCAAAATAGCATCTTTTAGATATTTTTATGTCATTAAATATACTTTGAGGGTAATTTAAAATATATATATTCATTTGGAGATAGATATATATCTATACACAGGTGACATGTGACTATGTGCTTATACCTTAAGTACATTTCACTGGTGGAAAGCCCTGAAAGGTTCACCATCACTGCCCTGTAGCATGGCACAGAAACTCCTTTGTGATCTAGTACTTGGCTACTTCTTCAGCTGAATTTTTCAGCTGTAACATATACAGTGGTATTATGAAGTATACATATATTGTAGTTTTATGAAACTACAATATTCTATTCTAGGGCACTGGTGGAGAGCTTATGGCCTGGGTGCAGCAGCTGGCTGTTTGTTATCACTGAAAGCTTTTTTTTTTGGTACCAGGGATCGAACTCAGAACCTTGTGCTTACGAGGCAGGGGCCGGAACCACTGAGCTAAATCCCTGGACCTATCACTGAAGCTTTAAAAGGTTCTCCATCACTGTTCTATACTGGGGACTCCTGAAACATGACTGGAAACCTCTGCAGTAGGCTCCATTCTCCTGCTCAGTGTACCATGAAGGCCTGGAAAAAAAAAAAACTTAAAAGACAGAACTAGGAGAAACAGAAAGTAGGGCCCCAGGATGACCTTTGCCTGTGCAACTGACAAAGGTGCTTGGCTAGTCCAAGCCACTAATTTTTATTGATAATCAATTGGGGTAAAGGTGAGCTACATGTAAGGGCAGAATTATGTGCAAGGATGCACAGTCATGTGGTTTCTGTGGAAATTAATGTAAGCAAGGCTCATAAAAGACAAGGCAAAACATTCTTGAGTTAGGAACAGAATAGTCAAAATATATGGTTGTAATTAGAACATTGCCCTTGTAGTAAGAAGGTTTTAATTGTGGGAATGGAATTTGGGTGCAAGTTACTCTGACCTTGGTGTGTAGGCTTTGGCTGGACTCACTTCTACAAACCAGCCAATTGTGGGGTTAACTCTTTACAGACGGCACTGCTTACAGCTTGCTTTGGGCATAATCAGTATTGCCATCTCCCACAGTTCTAGGGCAGGCACTTCTTTTTTGTAATTTTATGCCTTTGCACAGTTAACTCCCTGACTATTCTGTAAATATCTACTCATCTTTGAGCTTTGGTGCCAGGTCTTTATCCTCTGTAATATATTATAGAATTGTAATTTTCACAGTAATTGTCACACAGCTGACTTGCCACTTATAATTGTTGAAGTTATATAAATACGTCTTTTCTACCTAGATGCCTGGATTTATTACTTTCTTTCTTATATCCTCACATATGCCATATGGCATAATGTACAGTTGGCTCCTGATAAGTGTAGACTGGATGGGTTTGAGAGATCAGCTGTGTACTTAATGAATTCCCTTCTGTATATCCCTGTCAAGTGGCCATGTACCCTCAGCATGAGTAGCTCCTTTGAAAGATGATCATTCTGTCTTTGAGGTGTGGTTAATAGCAAGTTCTTCTTTTGAACCACTTACCTAGTTATTTCTATCCTTTAACCACACATGGAATAAATCCTAACTGTAGTCATATGTGATAACTCATGAATTATTGAAACATAACTAATTTCTTCCCTACTTTTTGTCCCCTCAGGCTTTAAATGCTTTCAGTTATTTCAGATCTCTCACTTGTTAATACTATTTTAGGACTCCCTGTGATTTAGACATTATTATTATTAGCCTTTTATGGGGATGGGGCATGGGCTGGAGAGGATGGGAAGAAAGGGACGATTGCCTCTTTCTTTTAGTGCTTTTCCATCCTTGCACAAACATTTATTGATGACATTTTAAGTACCAGGCCCTAGTAGGATATTTAGCAGTAAGCAAAACTGATGAGTCCCTGTTTTTATGGAACTTGCAGTGAAGGCAGCTAAAAGTGTAATCAAAACTGAGAATGTTTTCAAGGGGAAGTCTGTTCAGAAACTATATTGGAGGAGTATCTGATCTCACCTTAGTGGGGAGAGAGTTGTTTATGGGATAAAGTTTAATCCAAGCACAAAAGCTAAGTAGAATGGAAGAAGAAAATATGTCACACACGATGATAAGCCCTCAAGTTAGTATAGTGTTTTTCAGCAAGTGAAAGAAAGAAAATTATACTTGGATTTAAAGAAAATGGGAACTGATTATAAAGTGAGGCTACAGAGGTGATATTTTAAGATCACATTGGGTATCATGGAAGACTTAAGATTTTTATGGTTGTAGTATTTCATATCATTAGAATCATTCTTTCATCTGTCCTTTTGAAATGATTTTCTAATATCAATTTTTATAATTTGACACTTGTCATCATCTCTGCTGAATGTAATTTTAGGGAGGTAGGGATTTTAAATAAAGACAAATAAAAGAATAATAGTGGCAAATTACCTTATCACATCCTACAAATGTAACATATAGCCATGGTGTTGTACTGTTTAAATTAGCTTTTACATTGTGACTCTTGGTAGCCATGTAACTATAGAAAAACTACTTAACCATATCTGCCTGAGCAGTTTTGAAATGGAGCTACTAACTTTATGACGATTGAAAAAAATGCTTTTTTTTTTTGGTACCAGGGATTGAACTTGGGGCCTTGCGCTTGCGAGGCAGGTGGCGGAACCACTGAGCTAAATCCCCGGTGAAAAAATACTTTTAAGTTCTTAGAACAAAGTCTGGCACAGGTCTGCTCAATAAGTGCTGGAATTTGTGTTAAGTATTATTATTGCTCTTATTAATATTTTGGCATAGATACTTTCAATTTTTAAAAATAAAAAACTACAGATAAATCTCTTACACTTCTACTCCTGATTGTCTTTTTTAAAACACATTTTCAAACTATTCTTTTTTTATGAAAATTTTCCTATCTACTAGTTTTATAGCTCTCTTGTACCATTTTAAGAATCTCAGAAAATTCATTTGAAATGTTTTACTTGAACTTACAAAGATATTCCTTCCTATGCCTTTTTTCAGTGTTCTTATTTGTTAAAAATTCTGATGGCATTCTTGTAATATTTTTCCGCCCTCACCTTATTACCTTATTTTTCCTGCTTGATCAGAAGTATGTTTGAAATACTATTGTTTTTTGTTTTTTGTTTTTTTTTAATCAGTGAAATATGACAATTCTGGCATGAAGGAGCAACTTTTTCAGGTCAGTTAGAGGCAGTTATTTTTCTCTTTGGCATTAATTTGGCACTTCTTCAGAATTTGGCATTTATCTTTTATGTTATTTATCACTTCCAGGTGTATTAGTTAATTGGTCACATGGTTTCTCCACTGTAGGCTTGAGTTATTGAAGGCATATACCCTGTTTTCTTGATTTGTGCATTTTCATTTGGCCTCTAGAGTAGTAACTAAAAAATAGTATGATCATGGAAAGTGTGTTGAATACTTATATCCATGATGAGCAGTGATAAGATGTATATCTCAAAGAGCTAGAAATCATGATTACTGTCTTCCTTATTGTAGGTTTTTACAGGTGCTTCCTGCTTGCACTGAAGATGAGAAACTGCTAATAGATATTGTACATTTTTTAAAGAAGTTAATAAAAGAACATAGAAAAAATCCACCAGTTGAACTTCTAAACTGGATTCTAGAATTACTCCTTAGACATGTAAGTGTTAAAGAATTTGAGTTTTTGATTTGAGAAGCAATTTATTTGTAGAAACCATTTATGTAAAAGGATAATCATTACATAGCTTATACTTAGTAGGTCTCATCTTATAATGAATGGCCCATAACAACATGGCCTTCTATATGATTGTGGCTATGTTTATTAAAATTATACAGACAGAATGAGACCATCCCTTCTGGTATTTAATAGAACTTGTTCTATATGTGAGCTTTCTGCTGCACCTATTTTTAAGTGGAGATCTCAGTCAAGGTAGGGTAATGGGATGGCATGGTTCAATAATGTGGAGAGGTAGGTAGCAATGACAGAAGGAAGCAAGAGGGGAATAATGTTGGTAAGGTTGGAAAGAATGAGTAAAACAGTGCTTAACGCTTATTGAACTATTTACACTTCTAGTTCCCCCTATTCTCAAATCTTTAACTGTTCTAAGAAACTTACTGCGAACCCAAGAAGCTAAAAGGAACTTGTTAAGAACTGAAGAAGCTAGCTTATGCTCTTTTGTTTGTTCTTCTATGTTTATATTTGCAAATACCATATGAATTTAACTAACTTAGCAAAGATAAACCTTTGTACAAATAATAAAGAAAAAATGTATAAGAATTAGAAAAGAAGGCTTCACCCAATACAGTACTAACAGATAATAGACCTTATAAGACAGTGTTCTGTTGTATGTTAATACATTTGCAAAGCTAAAAGAGATGATTCGCTATAAAAATGCAAAGTACTATGTGTTGAAAGTTAGAAATTTTAATGAATATGAATGTTGGCATGTGTATAACTTTGTTTAGATGTTTATTATCTTCACCCTTACTGTAGACAAATGAAACTAGGAAATGCTTTGTTCATAATCACATACCCTCATGTACTGTAGTTCCTTACACATAGTGAGGTCTTAATAACCATCAATTTTAATAATAAACATTTGGCATTAAGGAAGCTTTGCAGTTAATTACAAGAAACATAACCTTTATTTCATAACCTATTAAAATATAATAAAAAATAACTATGGAATATGCTTGAGTTTACACATACAACTATATTTACAGACTAAATTCCTAGAATTATAATTGCTTTGTCACATTGCAGAGATATGTGGTATATGTGCATGTGTGTGTTTTGCTTTTGTGGTTTTATAAGTATGTAACTTACTTTGAGTGAGGTGGAGAGTTTTTTATTTGAGGTTCTGTTATCCTTTTCCATGAATTATCCCTTGGTGACCTTGCTCGTTCCGGTCATGTTTGGGTTGATAGTATTCTTTTTCTAATACATATAATAGAAGAAATAGAAGAACTCTATAAAGTAGGGAGATTAGCTCTCTATGATGTGAATTGTAGTTATTTCCTACTTGTCATTTATTTTCTGACTGCGCTTGTGGTGTTTGGACTTTAATTATCTTTACTCTTTTCATCTCTTGACTTTATTATATTATTTTTGCTTTTCATATTTTATAATATTTACATTATATTCTATGACCTTAATTTCCATGTTTAGTCATACGCAAACCCTATAAGGGAGAGTGTGTGTGCGTGAAAGAAAACTGAACACTTCTTATCAGGTCAGTCATTACAGTCATTACCACCTGCCATCCCACCTTAGGTTACTGTAGACTGTCAGGCTTCCACCCATGCCACCTATAATTTTTTTATTCTTTTTTTTATTACTTAAATTGTTTTATTGGTACATTTTAGGTTTTATTATTATTGTTTTATTGGTACATTTACATTTCTCATTGGGAACTTGTACCTTTACATGATGCATCTTGGCTCTTATTTTTTCCCCATTCCTAGCCCTCCCTTCACCCCCTCC